TTAAGAATTGATTTCTCAAGTGTTATTATAAGTTTATTGTTATATTGTTGAATTTATTGTTATTTCCCTAATCTTAACCGTGGGACACTTAAAGAAAAGTGAACCCAGTGATGATCACAAATTATCACCCTCGATATAATCACATGCCAATTTTGATTGGTCAAAAAATATAAACAAAATCAGATGATACGTACGTACATAATTCTCTTTTGTGTAACTTAGTATATAAAATGTTCCCAGGGCCTTCTCGTTACAAATCTTTTCGCTAAAGAAATTTCGTTCAGGTTTTGCTTTTATAATAGATTAGAAAGAACTTTACTATACTAAGAATTCTCAAGAAAAACCTTTTTGTTAGGGCGAAAAAGGCAATTTTACAGATAAAACTTTGAGAGGCATTTTTATAGGTAAAATTGAGTTTACGAATGATTTTTGATTTTTGATCTTTATTTAATATAAAAATAGTTTAAGCTATAGCGTTAGTAATTATTTATTTTATTTTGCGGTTTTTTGATGAGTGACAAATTCTTTTGAGTAAGTCAATTACAACCTTTAAGATTATATTAACCTGACATTAGCTACCCGCCTTGGAACATTGTCGTTAGAATGTCGGTTTAATAAGCAAATACGTATTTATGTTTGTATATCGCTATTAAGGTTCGTTTACTATACTGAAGCATAATTCAGTAAATGCTGGATTGGTTATTTATTATAATGTGTGAATTGGTTAGTTGCTATCTATCGTTTAGTAAGTTGAGTTTTATATAATCACAATTTTTTATTTAAAGGCTATTTACGCTTTTTACTTTATTTAAAATTTATAAGGTACAAATTCTCTTTAAAGGTAAAATCATATTTTTGTATTATTATTTATACGAAGTACAATTTAAGAATACTAATAAATTCTATTTTTTTTTTAAAAAAAAAAAAAATGGTAATAATAATCATAAAAAAATTTAATATCGTATCTTGGTATTAATTTGGCGTTATCTAAAAATTATTTTAAAGTAAGTATACAAATTAATTTAGATTCTGCTTTATTTATTTTATTTAAAAAAATGCTAATTACCTCATTTAAACTTTCGCCATACAATTTTATATGTTCTACTAGTTTATTGAATGCCTTACTATCATCATGAGCAAACCGTCGCCTCCACATATATTCTGAAAAATAGGTATTATATAATTCCTTAACTGTTCCATATCGTGGAAGAGATGATTTTACTGCACGCCAACTTGACTCGATTGTATTCGTATGAACCCCTGTTTCAGGGTCTTTGAAGTGTTCTGAATGATTGACTTTTCCGTGTTCCCATCCATACTTTTCAAAGTCATCTGTCTGGTAAGCTGGCCAACAATCACTATAGATCGTAGTTCCTTTTTCCACATACTCTTCCAAAATTTTCAACAACGTTTCTTTGGTACGATTGGGCACTGATACAAAAAACATTTTATCCGAATCTCTCTCAACCCCACCAAAAACCCACTGCCCTTCTACTCTTTTTCCTTTATTATACTTACGCTTACCGAATTTACTTTCGTCTATTTCAACGATCTTTCCTTCACCTCCGATTTTCTTATTTTCTTGATTCATTAATGCTACACAACATATATCGCGACAGAAATTATACCAATCTACCATCGATTGAGCACTAACACCAGTTTCAGCAACAGTAAATTTTTGGGGAAGTTTATGAGACCAACAAAACATGATTTTGGCAATTTGAGCTAGAGATATTTTGGAGTAAGATAGCCACGTTCCTGATCTTAAAGTAGTTGAATAACCACAAGCAGTTTTTGAGGTGCAGGCCCATTTTTGCTTATCAATGCGGGAACTATCTTTAGTTTTACGCATAGGGCTTTGGCATCTGGTACAGAAACGCATTCGAGGAAGAATTTCAATCTCTTCAAAGAATTGTACAGAACGCTCAGTATCTGGAGTATTAAGATAAATGTCGCCGTAGGTTTTTACTAGTACGGATGAAGATGAAATATTTTCTGACATAATTTTTTTTGTTAATAACAGGAAAAAAAACTCTAATTGAGATGTACAATTGAACAAGCAAGTTGTGAATTTAAAGGTGAAAATAAGAACTTATATTTATATGTTTTTTATAACTTTAAAGAAATACTTTGATCATCAATCTAATCTAATTTACATCCTTTGAATTCAAGAAAATCTAAACTTTTTTGTTTGGCGACCGTAAGTGTTTTATTGATTCTTTTTCTAATTTATTCATACTAGTCTAAAAAAAAAAAAAAAAAACGATCAATCTCATCTACTTACATTCTCTGAATTCAAGAAAATTTAACAATATAGACTTTTTTGTTTAGTACCAGGAAGTGTTGAATTTGTTTTTTTTTTTATCTTATTTATTCATACTAATTTTTTTTTTTTTTTTAAAAAAAAAAAAAAGTCTTTCGCGTGAATTTAGGGACATCTATGAATATACCGTATTTCGAACAATAGCATCTATGAACATTATTTCAAGAATCATTTCATCTAAAAATAACTTACATGCCTTTAGAATAGTACCCGTTCGCATTTTAAATAATAGAAATGCATATATTGTACATCGAATTAGAACTTGCGTCAGGTCAAAAAAATTATAATGCCACTAGTATTTACCCTAACATAGTCTTTTACCCTAACCCTAATGAACTCGATATCGAAATTTTGAACTGGCACAAATTTTAATTTGACATACAACGTATATATTCGAAATAACATGCAGGGGCATTACTACGCGTAATATGGTACTTTACCTACTTTAGTTTTATTATTAGTGTTATAATTTTTTTGTTTGTGTTACTATAATTTTTTGCCACTTGACTATTTAGGTTAGTAACTCCAAACTTATTATAATACTAGGGGCATTTATTCATTTCTTCAAAGTTTCTTTTAGTTGTTGAGCAAATAATATTCTTTTATCACGATAGAAGTTTTTAATCGCTATAATTATTGTGCAAATGTTGTGTATCAAAGTATGTTTGTATTACAATAAAAAAATTCAAATCGTTGTAATAGTTATACAAGTGTAGTGCATTGAAATAAGCTTGAATCAAAATAAAAATAAATTACTTTTGGTAATTAGAGTTTTATATATAGCAATTTGATGGCTATGTTTTGCATTAGTGAAATTAAAATATTTTATGCCAAATTTATCTAAGTCTTATATGTGATCATTTTGCGTACGATACTTTTACAAACTTTAACTTTTGACAAGATAAAAATCTAATTCAGAAAATCGCTCAAATCTTAAAAGTATTCTATGCAGTTTTAAGAATTTATGATTCACACTCAATTTTATACACATATATCAAATATTGATTAAAAAAATATTTTTTATTCAGAATCTTGCAATTATATCAATTTAAAGTTACAATTTAGAAAAAAAAACATGCAGTGTGAAAGGGTAAATTTCCACCCGTAATCGCTGCGGCTCCAAGGTAATAATATGATCCCAAAAATTCCTGATACCCTAACCAAGATCTCCAAGATAGTAGTTATTACTCAACAGTGTGAGTTTACCTTTAATAAAATAACTCTAAAGGCCCAACTTTGAAAATAGTAAAAATAATCCAAGTAGCGCTTGTTCTCTTCTCTACCCAATATTCTATATAAAATGTTCGTATTTTCTTGTCCGCATGATAGTTGTAGTATCATAACCCGTTTGAGTAAACCCTTGATCGAATTGCCTAATAGAATATAGTATATGAGTGCCATCAAGGGAAAACCTGTCATCGGGCTTTCAATTATATTTTGTACCGGACACAATCATTAATAAATCAAATAGATTGAGTCCGGTAAAAAATATTATTGAAAGCCCGATGACAGGCTTTCCTTAACAGCACTCATATAGTTTATAGTAAACTGATTTTAAGAAATTACCCGTAACCTGGAGGACCGTGGGATCGCGAAATCATGTGCCTCAGAAATAAGCAGTATCCCTGTCAAAAGAAAATATAGCAGAGTTATTAGTATCGAATCAATATATTTCATACAATAAATATAATACTAGAAGCAGAGAGAAGACTTATTTGAACTCCCAGTCAATTATAGCAAGACCTAAGACCAAAAATTCAGACCAAATATCTTCACGCCTCGATCTAAGCTTGCTAATTTGAAAATTTTGGCCTTGATAGAGTATAGTTGTTGATTAGTTGTTAGATTACAGTGTCATTTATAATAGCACTTATCCAGTTAACTATACTAGTAGTTACCACTTTTATAGTAGTCCCCCCAAAAAACTTCCCAAAAGCCGACCTGAATATAAGAACTACCTACTTAGAATAACAATCACAAAAACATACGCAACTAGAAAACAGCTTACCAAAATTAACTCTAGAATAATTTTAAACTTCGGATCTAGTTTACGGCGTTATATCATGGAAAGACAAAAATTTAAAGTGTAGATTCACACCCATGTCTAATTCATGGCGGGTTTACTAGTTTGAAGATCTTGTGTACGCACTTTTATGGTAACTCAGTAAGGAGCTAGAAAGTATAAAAAAAAAAAAATGTCGATATATCACGTTATTAGAGATCGTTGATTTTGTCCAATCATAAATGCCTTTGATCTGTGATCTATGATCAATATCACCTGATATTTGTTTACTTTTTTAGCCAATCAAAATTACCATGTGATTATATCGAGGGTGATAATTCGTGATAATCACTGGGTTCACGATTCTTGAAACTACCCACTTTATTACCTTATAAGTATCGACCCGTAATATCGGTCATATTGATTAACTATCGATATTACTGATTTTTTAATTACGCTTACATAACTTTGATTTATTTACCTGATTGATTACCGGTAGATATAATTAAGTATCTTCCCCAGGTGCGCCAACAAAATTTCACAGTCACGTGATAACCGACAAACTTTTAATCTTCCCCAGCATCGCCACCAATTTTTTTTCGATCACGTGATATCGACAAAATTCTTTAGAGTTCGTTTATGTTAG